TCTTTGACTGTGTGGGGGAGGGAAGGGGAGGAAGGGGAGGGAGGGCCCAGGGACCAAGGAGACACTCACCATCATCTCTCCCGATAATTTCCTTTTCCTCCTCCTCCTCTTTCCTCCTCCTACAGTACTATCGGTGACAACAGAGGCGAGGCTACCAGTTCAATTCACTCCTCCCTTCCTCTCCCCTCTCTCATTCTCATCCCTCCCCTCTCATCTCCTCTCCCTCTCTCTCTCTCATCTTCCTCTCCTCCTCTCTCTCACCTCCTCTCCTCCCTCTCACCTCCCTCCTGTCACCCCCTCTCCTCCCGCGTCTCCCTCCCAGGTGAAAATGAAAAGACACGGGTGGGGGGGGTCATCTAATCTGTGGTATGCTAATCTGGGGTCTTATATTGACGGCATACACGTGTCCGGGGTCTTCTATACACGGTGCATGTCGTGTCCGGGGCCTCTATACACGTGTCCGGGGCCCCTTATACACGGCATACACGTGTCCGGGGCCCCTTATACACGGCATACACGTGTCCGGGGCCTCTTATACACGGCATACACGTGTCCGGGGCCTCTTATACACGGCATACACGTGTCCGGGGCCCCTTATACACGGCATACACGTGTCCGGGGCCCCTTATACACGGCATACACGTGTCGTTTATACGGTAACGTGTCCGGGGCCCTTATACACGCATAACGTACTAAACGCCCACTTTTGTGTACTCTTAGTTAGACGGTGTCAGGTGTACTAAGACCATAACATAACGGGGGTGTCTTGTTATTAACTGGTTATTATACGACCTGGCAACCTTAACTTTGACGAAATTATATATTTCTGTTTTTCTTCTTCTCCTTGTTCTTGTTCTTGTTCTTCTTCTTCTTCTTCTTTCGTTCTCTCCTCTTTGGTTATTCATCGTGTCTTCTCCTCCTCCTCCTCCTCCTCCTCCTCCTCCTCCTCCTCCTCCTCCTCCTCCTCCTCCTCCTCCCCCCCCCCCCCTTCCCCTTCTCCTCTCTACCTCCTCCTTTTCTTCCTCTTCTCCTCTCCTCCTCCTCACCTCCTCCTTTATCTTCTTTCTCCTCTCCTTCTCCTCCTTACCCCTGCTCGCCCTATTATACCGAAAATAATTGAAAATGAGTATTGAATAAATGAGCTCACTTGGAAATAGGTAAATCAACGAGACCTATAAAACCTGCCTGAGTCGGAATATGTAATTGGGGACACGCTTTCTATTTACCTACGAAAATAGGTACATCCTCACTTCCTTCCTACCTTAAAATAGGGTAATTGGTTGGCACCCTTCTTTACAAATTAGGTTGACCTTCTCTTGTCCCCAATAGAATAGGTACACTTTCCTCCTATTTGATTTTAGGTACCCCCTCGTCTTTACCTTTACCCATTTAAATAAGCTGATTCTTCTCTCTCCTCCTTCCTTCCTTCCTTTCTTCCTTCTTCCTTCCCTCCACTGTATTTAGACTCGCCCTTCCTCTCCATCCATCTAAATAGCTCTCCTCCTCCCTCCCCCTCCACTAGGCTTAGGTACGTTTCTCCCCTCCACCACCCAATTTAAATAGGTCTGCTGGCCCCGTCCCCCAATATTAAAATAGGGATGGACCTCGTCCCTACGCCTAATATCTTCACCAATCAGAGGGACCCCATAGGCCTATCGTCTATGAATATCCAAGAGGTAATTTTCCGTCTGTATTGGGAACTTGTGAGGAAATGATCAATATCTCTATATGGCTACTGCCTTAAGATACGGGGTGTAAGATACGTGGTGGGGGGGTAAGATACGGGGGTGTAAGATACGTGGGGTGTAAGATACGTGGGGTGTAAGATACGTGGGGGTAAGATATGGAGGGTGTAAGATACGGAGGTGTAAGATACGGGGGTGTAAGATACGTGGGGTAAGATACGTGGGGAATGGGGTGTAAGATACGTGGGGTGTAAGATACGGGGTGTAAGATACGTGAGGGAGATGGAGGTAGATAGTGGGTGTAAGATAGGGGTAAGATCGTGAGATCGTGAAGTGGGGGTGTAAGATACGGGGGTGTAAGATGTGGGGTGTAAGATACGTGGGGGTGTAAGATACGGGGGTGTAAGACATGGGGTAAGATACGTGGGGGTGTAAGATACGTGGGGGTGTAAGATACGTGGGGTGTAAGATACGGGGTAGATGGGGGTGTAAGATACGTGGGGGTAAGATACGGGGTGTAAGATACGTGGGGGTGTAAGATACGTGGGGGTGGGATACGTAAGATCGTGGGTGTAGATACGGGGGTGTAAGATACGTGGGGTGTAAGATGGGGGTGTAAATCGTGGGGTGTAAGATACGTGGGGTGTAAGATACGTGGGGTTGTGTGTGTGTGGGGGGGAATTTCTGTGGATAATGGGGAAGGTTTGGGAAATTGGTTTAGGAGGTCTTAGGGATTAGGAGGATTAAAGCGTATTTGTCAAGGGTGCCTGAACTCTGTGGATTAATGAGAATTTCAGTGATTAATGGATTAGCTATCACGTGTGACACCCCATGTGTGTGTGTGTGTGTGTGTGTGTGGTAAGAGTGTGTACATTCCTTGTTTAATGTACGTATGCTGAAAGTTTGCATACATATATCTCCTATGTATGTAGTATGTACTGTATGTATGTATATCACACGTACATCAAGAGTATTTATATACATCTATTAAATCATACACAAAAAAAAAAAAAAAAAAAAAAATAATAATAATAATAAAAAATAATACGACATCCCAAGGTGAATCCAACCATATATAATATTTTAACCCCAGGATGAACAACTAACTTTCTATACTTGAGATATGGATAAGATTTTAACCCCAGGATGAACAACGCTAAGCTCACTGAAATTTACCATGACATAACTGGGGAAATAGGGAGTATCCAAGCTTTCCTATTTCCCTATTTATTCCATTGTTACTATTTTCCTTCTAGTTCATTCTTAATTTGTTTTTGTACTAATACGTTTCACTTCTCACATTACAGGTAAGTGTGGGAGTGACCTGGCAGCAATACAGGTGTGTGGCGCAGGTATTGTGGCCCCTTACCTGTGAGTAGTACCTGCAGGAGAGGTTTTAATGGCGCTACTAGGACTATTATGTTTATTAGTTTGGTCCTGTCTACCTACTAGTGCTATTAGATGTACTAGTGTGGTGGTGGGGCATGGTGGTGGGGCATGGTGGTGGGGCAGAGTGTGGTGACAGTGTGGTGACGGGTTGAGCCGGTGGGAGGATGTTAACACAACTCCGCACTCAACCATTATGTTGGTGTCTGGACATCGGGGGGGAGGGAGAGTGCTGGGCATGTGAGAGGAGGAGGGTACCTGGGCATGTGAGGGAGGGAGGGTGGGGACCTGGGCATGTGAGGGAGGAGGGAGGGAGCAGGTGTATCTGGCAAGGAGGTAGGGAGGGTGGCTGGGCATAGAGGGGGCGAGGGTAGCTGGGCATGGGGAAGGAGGGAGGGTAACTGGGCATGGGAAGGTGGTAGGGGTGAGGAGAGGGGGCAGGGGGAGGTGGGGTAAAGGGAGGGGTGGGGAGCAGGCAATGCCCCCGTGGGTAAGGTCAGTGAAGAAAGGTGCTGTTTGTCTTTTCGCAGGCCACTGGAATGTCACCTGGTGGGGAAGTGACGGGGTGATGGGTGAGGATGGGGTGATGGGTGAGGATGGGGTGATGGGTAAGGAGATGGGGTGATGGGTAAGGAGATGGGGTGATGGGTAGGGGTAGGGTGATGGGTAAGGGTAGGGGTGATGGGTAAGGGTAGGGGTGGTGTGAGAGATGGGTGATGGGTAAGGAGATGGGGTTGATGGGTAGAGGTGGGGGGTGATGGGTAAGGAGATGGGGTGATGGGTAAGGAGATGGGGTGATGGGTAAGGAGATGGGGTGATGGGTTAATGGAGAAGATGATGGGATATTAGCTATGATGGTAAGGTGTAGTGGTAGTGGTGGTAGTGGCAGGTAGGTCGGAGTGGTAGATGGTGTAATGGTGTTGACAGCAGGATAGATGGATGGTGTTGACCAAGATGGATAGATGGTATTGGCAGGATAGATGGATGGTATTGGCAGCAGGATAGATGGATGGTATTGTCAGCAGTTTAGATGGATGGTATTGGCAGCAGGATGGATGGATGGTATTGGCAGCAGGATAGATGGATGGTATTGGCAGCAGGATAGATGGATGGTATTGGCAGCAGGATAGATGGATGGTATTGGCAGGATAGATGGATGGTATTGGCAGCAAGATAAATGGATGGTATTGGCAGCAGGATAGATGGATGGTATTGGCAGCAGGATAGATGGATGGTATTGGCAGCAGGATAGATGGGGATGGCATTGACAGCAGGATAGATGGATGGTATTGGCAGCAGGATAGATGGATGGTATTGACAGCAGGATAGATGGATGGTATTGGCAGGATAGATGGATGGTATTGGCAGCAGGATAGATGGATGGTATTGGCAGCAGGATAGATGGATGGTATTGGCAGGATAGATGGATGGTATTGGCAGCAGGATAGATGGATGGTGGTGGCAGGAGTGATGGCAGCAGGATAGATGGATGGTATTGGCAGTAGGATAGATGGATGGTATTGTCAGCAGGATAGATGGATGGTATTGGCGGCAGGATAGATGGATGGTGGTGGCAGGGGTGATGGCAGCAGGATAGATGGATGGTGGTGGCAGGAGTGATGGATGACCGCCGCCAGCAACACACAGACTGACTCGTATGATTGACAAGAACATGAATTGCTGTGTAATGTGTATGAATAATTATGTTGGTAATGGTGACAGTCTCTCTCTCTCTCTCTCTCTCTGCGTTAGGTTGGGTGGTGGTGTGAGGCGCTGGGTTGTGGTGTGTGGCGCTGGGATCTGGTGTGGTGCTGGGATCTGGTGTGAGGTGCTGGGATCTGGTGTGTGGCCTGGGATGGGTGTGAGGCGCTGGGATGTGGTGTGAGGCGCTGGGATCTGGTGGTGTGAGGCGCTGGGATCTGGTGGGCGCTAGGTCTGGTGTGAGTGCTGTGATGTGGTGTAGTGCTGAGATCTGGTGTGAGGCACTGGGATCTGGTGTGAGTGCTGGGATGTGGTGTGAGGCGCTGGGATGTGGTGTGAGGCTTGGGATGGTGTGAGGCACTGGGATCTGGTGTGAGGCGCTGGGATCTGGTGTGAGGTGCTGGGATTTGGTGTGAGGCGCTGGAATCTGGTGTGAGGCGCTGGGATCTGGTGTGAGGCGCTGGGATCTGGTGTGAGGCGCTGGGATCTGGTGTGAGCGCTGGGATCTGGTGTGAGGTGCTGTGATGTGGTGTGAGGTGCTGGGATCTGGTGGTGTGAGGCGCTGGGATCTGGTGGTGTGAGCGCTGGGATCTGGTGTGAGGTGCTGGGATGTGGTGTGATGGGATCTGGTGTGGTGCTGGGATCTGGTGGGAGTGCTGGGATCTGGTGGTGTGAGGCGCTGGGATCTGGTGTGGTTGCTGTGATGTGGTGTGAGGCGCTGGGATCTGGTGTGAGGCGCTGGGATCTGGTGTGAGGTGCTGGGATGTCGGTGTGAGGCGCTGGGATGTGGTGTGAGGCGCTGGGATGTGGTGTGAGGCGCTGGGATCTGGTGTGGTGCTGGGATCTGGTGTGAGGCGCTGGGATCTGGTGTGAGGTGCTGGGATCTGGTGGTGGAGGCGCTGGGATCTGGTGTGAGGTGCTGGGATCTGGTGTGAGGTGCTGGAATGTGATTGACGTTATTGAGGGGAAGTAGCGCTCATCTGGCATGGCTGATCTCCTATTACCATACTGGACACTGACCAGCTATTATGTGACCAGGGTCGTCTACTCTTCTTCTTCTTCTTCCTCCTCTTCCTCTTCTTCTTCTTCATTTTCTTTCTCCTTCCTCTGGTTGTTTACATCCAGAGTCTGACAACATCCCAGCGGTCCTGACAACATCCCTGTGACAACATCAACGGTCACAACACCAACTGCCCTCAGATAATGGCAGGCGAGACATTGACCTGCTTAGTGTAATAAAACTAGTGTAGAGAGAGAGAGATTACAGATGCACTTCCTGTCACTGTCGTACAGACCTCATTAATACAATTTATGGTCTTTCTGCATTATATCGCAATCAGCAACATCTTTACCCACCCCACTCCACCCTTTCCTCACCCTTCCTCTCCCCCACTCCCACCCTCCACCCCCAAACCTCCTCCAACCCATCCATAACCTCCCCATCCTAATCCACTACCCCATATACTCCCTCACCCTATACCCCCTCCCCACTCTTATCCCACCCCTTCACCCTCCCCACCCCTCCTCGCCCCTCCTCCGACCCTCCGATATGTAAGGGCACTGACATTATGCCTCTTGTTAAGTTGGGTGGTTGGGGACTTGTATCTGATCGCTGGTATTAGATGATCGGACTTTTATCTGATCACAGGTACATCGGTGATCGGACTTGCTGCTGAGAACGTAGGGGGGGTCATTGAATGATTGTGAGACGGACTTATAATAATCGGACTTATAATAATCGCTTTCGGACTTATAGATCGGACTTATAATAATCGGACTTATAATAATCGGACTTATAATAATCGGACTTATAATAATCGGACTTATAATAATCGGACTTATAATAATCGGACTTATAATGATCGGACTTATAATGATCGGACTTATAATGATCGGACTATAATAATCGGACTTACTTTATCGACCAAAAGTTGGACTTGACCTCTTCGGTACGGAAATAAGTCCTTTAGAGTATGACTTGGCTTGTTGTTTTCATTTTATACCGTCCATTCCGTCTGTTTGTCCGTCCGTCTAGCAGTCCACCACTATGACGTCACTCCTTCTAGCTTAGTTTTTGATTGGCTGTTTATCCGTCCGTCTAGCAGTCACACCACTATGACGTCACTCTCTCTAGCGTAGTTTTGATTGGCTGGTTGAGAGGTAGAGATAATCAGAGTGTTTTTCACCATCTTGGGGACGGACGCACTACTGCTACCCCCCTCCTTCCTCCCTCAATCTCTCTCTCCCCCTCTCCGTCCCTTTCTCCCTCCTCCTCAATCTCTCCCCCTCTCCTCCCTCCCTCCTCCTGTGCCTAGTTCATATGTGGAAGGAACTAAGCAAAACACTGTGTAGGAAGGTGTGTGTGTGTGTGGTGGGTGTGTGTGTGTGTGCGTGTGCGTGTGTGTGTGTGTGTGTTGTCGTGGTGTTATCTGTTGACTAGTAACAAATAGCTCCGGGTACTTGGTCTACCTTGAGGATGTCTCGGATGGATACAAATGACTTGGGTTGTCTGTGCTAATGTCTCTCCAGGTTTCACTGCCTTACTAATTGACTCGATTCACTCAATGTCCCCAACTTAATGTGTCAAATATGGCCACACCTAAAACCACACTACCCCCCCAAACCACATCATCCTTAACTACTGACGTGAATTGGATTATCATAGTTTAATTATGTACTCTCCTATCCACCCCTCTTGATTGGTTGTTTTGGTAGGTTGATTGTCTCGGGGGTGTTGTTTGGTTATGTAAGGTTGGTTGTTTTGGTTACATCGTTTAAACAATAAGACTCCCAATTGCTTAGTTCTAATAAAATCCTCTTAATTAAATAATTTTTTCTATAAGGCTCAATAATAACCATTGAATTGTTTATTATACTTTCATTATTGGTAATTATTTTTATGAACTAATAATAAGGTTTATTTTGAGTTAATGGACTAATAGTATACAGTAAAACTCTCCATTTAACGGACTATATAGGGAGGAAAGTTCGGTATACGGAGAGTCAGTTAAAATAAACTCTCCATTATTAGCTTTCATCTTCCTTCTCACTTCCCTCCTCTCCTCACCCCCTCACTTCACCTCCCTTCTCACCTCACTATGATGATGATGATGATGATGATGATGATGATGATGTAGCAGGTGTGTGTAAGGAATTCGTAGGACCATGTGCACAAGTTGAAATATGTGTGTGTGTGTGTGTGTGTGTGTTTCGCTGTGGTAGGAATCCTTTGTGGTTATAGGATTCTTCTTACTCACCTTACCAACATCCTTCCACCATTGCTGACACCGCCGCTGCCTCTTTTGGTTGACAGTGGTTGAACCTGCTGCTGACAACCCTGCCCTTGCTAGTTCAGTACACATTTGACCGGAATCCACCATTACTACCACCACCTGCCACCACCACTGCCTACCACCTCTACTACCACCACCACACCGACACCAACCATCACTACTACCACCACCAAACACCTGCACCAACCCTACCACCACTACCTACCACCACCATCACTACTACCACCACCAAACACCACCACCACCACACACCCACAACTACACCACCAACACCCACCCACTACCACTACCATCACCACCTACCAACCACCACACACCTGCACCACCACCACCACCCCACCAACCACCACACACCTGCACCACCACCACCACTCCAACGATTAAGATCAGCTTCTCGTTGCCATCAGGAACCCCCCGATTTACAGCAGCGTCGGTACATAGAGAGAGCATAACGGTCCCGATTCCCAGTTTATTGCTTGCTCCCCGATACCACCCGATAAGACCACTCGCGCCCTAAATTTGCATAGTACCCCTCTGGCGTTACGGAGATCTTCATAGAAAACGGAACGCTAAAGAAAATGAGATGTGATTTAGTTACTTGTCTTGTGGTTGGTTAAGAAAAAATGGTACAGGGTTTTTAAGGTAAAGACTGTAGAGAGAGAGAGAGAGAGAGAGAGAGCAATTTGTGTAACCTGAGGGGTGGGGTAAGGTGGGGGGGGAGATAGTTTATTGTGGTATTTAAGCGGTACTTGATGATCAGGCCAACTAAGGCAGTGTGAAGTTATTACTACATCAGAAGAAGGTGTTGGTGTGGTGGATGTTGTTGTTGTTTGTTGTTGTTTATACCGTAATATCAATCAGAACCACAACTCTCTCTCTCTCTCTCTCTCTCTCTCTCTCTCTCCTTGTGTTTGTATGTGTATAACACTGTCTTGCCTGGACCTCAGAGTATAACACTGTCTTGCCCTGGATACGTAAAAGGCAGTAGCAGTGTCATGAGGGAGCCCCACTTACCCTGCGGCCACTCAAGCTACTAAGGTCATGTGTGGCACGGACACACACGCCCTCACGTACACATTGGGTACATACATACATACATACATAACGTGCATTCATACATACGTCCCTATATACATGCGTTCATAGATACATACTTTCATGTATAGATGCAACATACGGATATACATTGATAAGTTACATTGAAATTTACGTATGAATATAAATACATTCATAGAATGTTTTCACACACACACACACACACACACACACACACACACACACACACACACCAATAAGAGTTACAAGATTGTGGTGATAACATCAAGTGCAGTTCAACCCCCCCTCCCTCTTCCCCTCGTTGCTGACTACCGTCTCTCTCTCTCTCTCTTCTCTCTCTCTCTCTCTCTCTCTCTCTCTCTCTCTCTCTCTCTCTCTCTTCTCTCTCTCTCTCTCTCCAATAGGCCCCACCGTAAACAAACAATTAGGACTTGGGCACAATTTTAATGGTCAAGTTGGGGCCTACAAGGACTAGGCCCCATAAATACCAGTCCCTATTAATACTAGGCCCTTTACGATTAGATCCCATTACGACTAGACCCCATTACGACTAGATCCTATTACGACTAGATCCTATTACGACTAGATCCTATTACGATTAGATCCCATTACGACTAGACCCGCTGTTAAGGCATCTGTTTGGATCACTCGTTCACGTGGCGTTGAAATCTCTGGCGTCTGGCGTCTGTTGTGGCATTGTATGTTGTGGCTCTGGTGTATGTTGTGGCGTCTGGTGTATGTTGTGGCTGGTGTATGTTTGGCGTTGGTGTCTGGTGTATGTTGTGGCGTCTGGTGTACCCTGAAGCGCCATAATAATGTGTATCTGTGTGGCGTTGGAGAATGGTGTCCCCTTGTGCCATTAAGGTGCGCCATAGTGGACATAATGTGCGTACACACATTCACACACACACACACACATATACTCATACATACAAATTTACATATACAAATACACATGCACACACACACATAATACATACCCCCACACACACACACACACCAAATTGGCCATCAGGTAACTAGAGTTCTCTCCGTACGGTCCATTAACCTAAATGATTTGAAATGGACGATGGATGAGAGGTAGCTCGTCCAGAGTTCGTCCAGGGTCGTCCGAGGTCGTCCAGGGTCGTTCAAAGACTCGTATTTTTAATAGTTATCCCTAAGAGTTCCAGGTAAATAAATTGGCTAAAGTCACAGCGTAATATTGTCGCCATTTTGTCTACTAACTCTGTATCTTGGCCTTTAACTTACCCCTTAAACCCTTAGATCAGCCCTTTAATGGTCTACCCTTAGATATAGTAGTTGTGTCCCCTTACCTAACCGTTGTTGCCCTTTAAACGGTGAGATTAAAGTCTAATGGTCCTTCCCTTTAAGCTAACCCTTAGAAAGACCCTTTGAGGAGTATGGATGCGGCCTTTATTGAACTATTCTCCCTTACTCCTTACACCCTTTGCTCTCCCCCCACACACCCCTTCCCCCCCCACACACACCCCCCTTCCCCTACACACCCCCCCCCCTTCCCCCCACACACCCCCTTCCCCACACACCTTCCCCTACACACCCCTTCCCCCCACACACCCTTCCCCACACACCCCTTCCCCACACACCCCTTCCCCCACACACCCCTTCCCCCACACA